TTTTAACCACCACTACCTCCGAGCCTCTTTTTGCCGAGGTGGAGTCGAACTGCGCGCCGACGGGGGTGGGGCGAAGCGCCAGAACGGCGTTTTTGTTTTCGTTTGGCTGGTGCTGTGTTGTGGTCCGGTAGCACCCAGCCTCCGCTGGCCTCCGAAGAATGCGGTATCGGTTACCTTTACGACTTCGCGTCCCAGTCTGAAAGGTAGTGGTGGTGTAAAGAAGAACAGAGGAAAACGTTTGAAGCAGCATAATGATTATGATTATGAACGATACGGGATATAGGAAGGGTCCTGTGAATACAGCCTAGGAGGGATAGTCTAGAAACGTGTTGGTTGTTTTCCATGATAGGCAATCCCCTTTGTTTTGCATGTTCTTTCTGTTCACAGGACATGGTGCCAGGTGCAAGTATCGCGATCTCAGCCCTTGAGTTGCTTGCAAAGCAGTCGGCTATCTGGAAGCTCGACCAATCGCGTCAATTCAGGTACTCTGTGACCTTGTTAGGTCGGTGGAGATGGATCAAGGGGCGGCCGTTGGGGATGGGAAAGCTGGGAGGGAAGGAGAATGTCGAGTTCGCGTGGTCCGAGTCTAATGAAGCAGACACAATATTGAGTAGTCAGGTGTATGGAGATGTATCAGAGAAGGGGGTTGTCGGCACCCCTTCCTGGTTTTCGATGGATAACATGTCAGGGGTCCAGCAGAGACCCGGCAATGCGTTGTGCGGTGCTGATCAGAAGGCTAATGATGACCTAGATATCTTAAAGCTGCTCCCAGAAAGCTTTGACTTTGACCAGTCTGTGCTATCCTCTGGGGGTGGTGGATCCAGGTCCACACTTGTGCTGGTTGTCGACGGGTTTCTTCCGGACTCCTTGAAGGGGCTGGTGTCCTCTGCCAGCATATGTGGAGAACTGGGCGATGAAGTTCAACGTAATCTGCGCCGGAAGGGGTCTACAAAAGGTTTGACGTGGAGAGGAAGGGACAAAGAAAGAGACAAGGAGCAGCAAAGATGGGATAGTGTTCGGATGCCATTGCGTGTGCTGTTTGAAAGAGCTCCCGGACGGCGTATTCCGAAGTCCGAGTTCGATGACTATGAAGAGAGGCAAAGAGTTTGGGAAGATGCGAAAAGGGCGTGGGAGAAACATAGTGGGGCGTTTAGGCAAGGGCATGCGTTTCCTTTGTTTGGCACAGCACGGTTTATTGCACTTGAGGGCGAGCAACACGAGGAGGAGAAGGGACGCGGATTGATCTTTGAGGATCTGAAGCGGGGATGCAGTGGGGCTGCTAAGGAGCTGGCAGCGGAACAGAGTAACTGGGGTGTTGAGGTGGGAGAGCATAATATCGCTCTGCAGATCCAGGTGCTCATTCCTGACGCCGAGGTTGAGTTCATACCGCTTCTCCCACTGCGACTTTGTAACACGGCTTTGGGGCGCTCTCTTCAGGTAATGATCACCCCTTTGTTCTTTATGTGGGTTCTGGTTTCACACATATATTCCAATGCTCCCCTCCTGAGCATGAATCTGGCCATACCGAGGAGGATGAAAGGTGCATTAAATTGCATTTGTGTGTTGTTGTTTCTTTTTCTTTCCTTTGGTTCTGAAGGGTGAAGTTGTAGATGTTTGTCTGTTGACAAAGCATTCATATGAAGCTCGCCAGAGTGAGACGTTTCAGTCATGCAGATCTTGTAGTATGTGTAAATTTGTCGGGTACTATGTACAAGTTTATAACAGAAAAAAAGTATTTTGTTGGTTTAATTCGCTTCTATACCAAAAATAAAATAAAATAAAATAAAATAAAATAAAATAAAATAAAATAAAATAAAATAAAATAAAATGCTTCTATACCTGAGTTGCGCTGCCCCTGTCAGCAGACTTTGACTGGTAGGCTGCCGACCAGCCAACGGATCAACCAGTCGGCGCACAGTGGTCGGCCACTTGTCAGCCTAGAGCAAGGGTAGGGATCTGGGTACCGTTGCGGCCGCGATCGCAAATGACAGGTTTTCATCGTAAACAGTGGACATTAGGCAAATGTGGCTGCATGCTTAAACCACCAGTATCTTGCATGGTTTCCGACGATTTGCAGACAACTGCAGTTCTTGGATGAGCAGTGCTAGTGGACCTCAAAGGCTGATGGTGCCAAGGCAAAAAAAAAGGAAAAATGCTCAGGCACCGGTTCTTTCTTTGCGGCGCACAGGGGACATCCGCCTTGGTTAAAGAGGCTTGGAGGTGGTTCAAGACAGCGAAATTAACATGAAGTATAGCTATTTCCCACCGGTGCACATCGATTGTTTAGGAGTGGTTCAACAGTGGCCTAATGGTGGTTTACAGTGGTTGAGAAGCAGTGGTTCAATATAGTGGTTAACGGTGCTGTACAGGGATCAACAGTGGTTAATGTAGTGGTTACCAGTGGTCTCAACGGTGGCTTGCAGTGGTTAACTGGTTTTAACCACTGCTTTCAACGGTGGCTTGCAGTGGTTAACTGGTGGTTTGCAGTGGTTAACTGGTTTTAACCATTGGCTTCGACAGTGGCTTGCAGTGGTTAACTGGTTGTTTGCAGTGGTTAACTGGTTGTTTGCAGTGGTTAACTGGTTTTAAACACTGGCTTCGACGGTGGCTTGCAGTGGTTAACTGGTGGTTTGCAGTGGTTAACTGGTTTTAAGTTTTAACCATTGGCTTCGACAGTGGCTTGCAGTGGTTAACTGGTGGTTTGCAATGGTTAACTGGTTTTAACCACTGGCTTCGACGGTGGCTTGCAGTGGTTAACTGGTTTTAACCACTGGCTTCGACAGTGGCTTGCAGTGGTTAACTGGTGGTTTAGTGAGGTTTCAGTGGTTAACAAGTGGCTCGCAGTGGTTCAACATTGGTTTTAATTTGTAAAGATATCACAATCCTCCTTCCCCTTCTCCCCT